TAGTTTACAACTATAGGATGAACATTGATTATTTACATCATGAATAACCCCTTGAGATCTGGTGTCTCGTTTGTGAGGGGGTACTTAGAAAACCAACCAACAAAAAAAAAAGCTATAATAGAATTTGAAATAAGTAAATTAAGAAAAAAAACTAACTAGTGTCAGACAAAATAAATAAAATAAGACAAAACACATGTACATATAAATTCATGACAACTTCATGCTACATACACCATACCAAATAAGAAGATGCTATTCACATGCAGATGGATATTCATATGTGCAGAGTACAGGGCGACAGTGGCTGTATAGTAGCGTAATCGTCTTGCGATCGGATTGTTGTAGGTTTGATTCCAGCTTTCTCCATGTCGACTAAACCCCTGTGTATTGGTGTATAAATGTATGTGCAAATGGGTGAATGTGAATGGGTGAAGGTGACTAGTGTAAAGTGCTTTGAGTGGTCAAAATAACTGGAAAAGTGCTATATAAGTTCAGTCCATTTACCATGTCAGAAAAGAGAAGAAGGGCTAGAATAAATGAGTCTTTGCTCTCATTGAAAGCAGGAGCGAGATGTTTGAAAATATGTAAAGTTGAAAGTTAAAAATATGAAAAGGTCATACATGTAATTGAGGGAGGTAAATTACTCCAATCTGGTGGAGCTTTAAATTACATAATATCCAATTAAATTTCTTTTCTAACCCTTGGAATGAAAAAAAAACTGATCAGTATTCATCAGGCTACACAATTAATTAAATGGTATTAAGGTTTTTTTTTTGTTTGTTTGTTTTAGTATAGAGGAAAATTAAAATAGATATATTTAAAAGTAATTAACAACCGATTAAATTTTCTGTTACCCTGGTGTGCAGTTCATAGACTTGTACATAAGGTAGAGATGGGTCCATTTATTCTAAAATTAAACCTCAGCCTAAAAATAGTATCTTGCATGAATGGGATTTATTAATTTCTTTACATTTAGGTGTTGCAGGATGTTGCAAATATTTAATTAAGTGTAAATATACTCTTTTACACTATGTTGGTATAAATTATTTGTATTTATCCAACAGGTCTGACCTGTTGGTAATCATTGACATGCAATTGGAATCAGGTTTGTGGATAAATACTCCTTTAGATACAGAAGAAGATCTAAGACAGGAATGACATACTGTAGCTGTATAACACTGATTGCCAAAAAAAATCTAATTTATTATAGAAATTGTCATATGATAGTATCTTCCCATGTATGTGTAAGAGAGCAAAACCTTTGTTTTATAAAAACAGATAAAAATACTAAGTTCTATTCAGGATATTTCTGTTGTTAAACATATGTAGAACAAGTGTCACGCCCCACTGGTAGGCAATGAGAAAAAAATGGGAAACAGAGGAGAGGAAACATGAAAACAATAATTTAATCCGTTCAAAACATGATCCCGAGAGAACTACACAGCCAGTCAGAGAGAAGCGTGGATCAATGCTGCCCGCTCCGGTCTGGTTTG